GTCACGGTCCGTCCGGCGCGGCCTTCAGCGCTCGGTATATAAAGGGGCGCGAACCAGGACCCGACGCAGTTCTGATCCTTGTTCAAGAAAGGCAACATGAGAGTTCTGGTAACTATTGGTTCCTTGTTCTGTCCTGATGTGAATATTAGCGGGGTAGAAGTAGTTGTGTTTTATTGAGAAAAGTCGTACGGTTGTATTATTACTTCGTAGTGTAAGGTAGCATGTGTCTTTAGGGAACACGGGTTAATGTGCGGGAATGTCTGCGAATGCTGAGTGGGTAAATAAGTGTGTTTTTTTTCCGGCAGGTTCTTTTGGCAGTGCTGGGAGTGTGCTCGGCCGCCCCCTTCATCGGGGACACGCCCGAAGTGCAGGCTGAGAAAGCGCGGTTCTTCCAAGCCTTCCGCGCTGCTCAGGCTGCCGCCGCTCCCCAGCAGGCCGTCGTCTATCACCAGGCTGCTCCTGTTGTTCAGACCAAGTGGATGGGACCCGTGGCTGCCACCATCCCCGCCGGCGTCGACGGCACCGTCACCCCCGTGGGCGACACCGCTGAGGTTGCCGCCGCCCGCAACGCCTTCCTCAACGCCTACCGCGCCCAGGTCGCAGCCACGGTCGGCGCTGCCCCTGTCGTGCACTCCGCTGCCCCAGTGTACAATGCCATCCCAGCCGTGCCCCAGCAGACCTTCCACCACGCCGCCCCAGTCCAGCCCAAGTGGACCGGCCCCGTGGCAGCCACCGTCCCCGCCGGACTCCCAGGCTCCGCCCCCCAGGTCGCCGACACCGCCGAAGTCGCCGCCGCCAAGCAGGCCTTCTTCAACACCTACCGCCAGCAGGCAGCGGCTGCGGCAGCCCCCTCGGCCCACTACTTCTAGATCGTCCTGTGATAATCACATTATATAAAAATGTATAAAAGTCCATAACAGTTCAACGTAAAATTATAAAATAAAATTATATTTGTATTTCTGTATATCAATATCACGATACGAATACCACAAACAAGAATTTTAACGCCACCTGCATTATGGTATTTTGTTATAAAAGCATAGTTATCTATCTATATGCACACACACACATTTATATATGCATATCTATCTATATCTACACACACACACACACACACACACACACACACACACACACACACAACATATACTATCATATCTATCTATATCTTTATATATACATATATAAAGATATAGATAGAGTTGGATATGCAAATATGTGTATATACATATATATACACATGTGTGCGAGTAGATATATACATACATACGCATATGAATAAGTATATACATAAATGTTTACATATACATATCGGTAGGTAGAAAACAGATGATTTACATAAAGTAGAAGGAGACAGCCGAAATAGAGCAAAATAAAGGAAGAAACAGGAGGCATTATAGTGCAGGAGGAACAAAAATTATATTGATGTTTTGTATGGCATGAGGCGTTGTAAACCATCCATTTAGTTACTGTATTTGGTCGAGACAGATAAGGTGGCTACAAGGTCCCATTATCTAAATTCTGTGTGGAATCCATGTCAGGAACGAGAGGGATATGTAGGCAAAGGAAGTATATTCTCTTTAAGGGTGACTGTACAAGATTTCGTGGTCGAAAATCTGTATCCATTAGACGTTCCTCTCGAATAATCGTGAACCTTCTTTTACGACCAACAAGATATACCACCGTTTCGAAATTCCTAATTTTTTTTAACAAGGTGCAGACAAAAAGCAGGTGGCGTGGTTTCCGAATGGTGAACATCACAACACAAAAGATGGCTTCGTTTTAACATCACCTTAAACACTATGATATGCTACATACATCGAAACACGTCTCAGACATGTTATTAAACCTGCCATACGATAACCGGCGGATGTCCTCTCACAAACCCGCTGATTCGAACGTTCAAACGAGATGTATTGAACATGTATGTACACACACACACACACACACACACACACACACACACACACACACACACACACACACACACACACACACACCACACACACACACACACACACACACACACACACACACACATATATATATATATATATATATATATATATATATATATATATATATATATATATATATATATATATATATATTACACGATCACCATAGAAAATAAAAGTAATCTAGTGATTCTCAAAATTGCGAACCATAAAAACAGCATGACAAATCATACTGAGCTTCGAACCAGAAGAAAAATCACATAATCTACATCTAAGCCAATGGATGCTGCAACCACACGCATTCTACAACTACACAGTGTCCCGCACCAAGAACACACGTAGAACAATAACAAGAACATTCACCAGCCACGCCTCCCGTGTTCTCTTGGATAAGATATAGTTCTCGGCACAAAACAAACCCCTGCCAATGCTTCAGCCATACTTAAAAATAGGTTTAAGGGTTGTCTGTACCAGGCCTTAAAGAATAATGGCGGAGGATAATTATGTATTTCTGTAGCCTATAAGATTGGGAAACATTGGCT